TTTATACCGTGCACCGTCGCAAACTCGAACCATTATTTTTCAATTTTGCATGCTCGCGCTTTGTCATCCGCCATTTTCAATAAATTTATTTTAGCAACATTGAAATAAATTGATTCTTAAAGTAGAGATTTTTAGCTTCATTTCCATATTTTATAGAACTTTCTATCTTTATTATTTACGAAGTTATCGTCAGTTGAAATTTGATGAATTTTTCCCACATTTTCAGTGTACTCGTCAAGATAAACTCTTGACATAGTTTCTCTACACGACAAACACAATTAAAGATAATTTCCAAGATTGCAACTTTCGTCAAAGCTCAAAGCGGCCTGCTGTGCTTTATACACAGCGAGAAGAACATTGTCTTAATTATTATCTAATTTCTTGTAGATTACATTATGGAACCTCATCGAAACGAGTGCGCCAGTTACGAGGAAGCATACAAAAAATCATTGGAGTGCCCCGAAGAGTTTTGGGGCGAGATTGCTGGTTGTCTCGACTGGAGCAAACCTTGGCACAAGGTGTTGGATAATTCCAACCAGCCATTCACAAAATGGTACACTAATTATTACAAATACTATATTTTCGATGTAAATTTTTTATATAACTCATAATACTTTAATTTTTACTTAAATTTTTTATATAATGTCTTTTTTAGAATAATCTAGTCCCTTTAAAGTTAAATTTACAAATATATATATTGCAATTGTAATCCATGTAACTTTGCATTTATTTAATATTTTATTTTTCTTATAATTGGCAAACAAAAAAAATATTTTTAAGAAGAAAATTTATATTCTTATAAAACTAACTTTATCAATTTTTATGTCTATTTGTTCCAATAAGTTTCTTTCACGAAAACTTTATGTTTTTAATTATTAAATATTCAGAAATCATCAATGTCCTAAGATTCTTATTTAAAAAATCGATTCTACATTAAACAACTAATTTTTAAATTAATATTCTGAAAAATAAACATGAATATATTGTGAAACTACAGCAAATTTTATTTGAAAATAATAAATTAGCTAAAATTTTTCAACTAAAAAAATGAACTAAAAAAAGTACGGATACAAAGCAACTTCAAAATATTTATGTATACAAAAAGCTCGCACTTCTACACAGGTTTGTCGGCGGAGAATTAAATGCTTGTTACAACGCAGTGGACCGCCACGTGCGCGCCGGATACGGAGAAAAAACAGCTTTAATACACGACAGCCCGCAAACATCATTAATACGCAAAGTAACGTACAACGAACTCTTAGAGAAGACGTCTAAGTTAGCGGGCGCGTTAGCGGATTTAGGTGTGTGTAAAGGCGATAGGGTGATCATCTACATGCCGCTGATCCCCGAGACTATAATCGCGATTTTAGCCACCGCCAGACTCGGAGCGATTCACTCGGTGGTTTTTGGAGGTAAGAACGAGATCATGATATTCACACGATAACCATGATAATTAAATTATGCCATTTTTGACTAAATCTTTCAAATTTAATAGCGCATAATGCTTCTCTAAAAAAAAATTATAAGAGCGTGATCCATATAAATATGTAGTAATACGAAGAATAATGCAATTAAACAGATTCGTTTATACATCTTTCAATTTTAAAAGATTTTCATTCATACAGCATCGCAATATTTAAATAAAACATTATACTTTTAAATCGTTTTAGGCTTTGCAGCAAATGAATTAGCGTCTCGAATAAATCACGCCGAGCCGAAGGTTATTATTGCTGCGAGTTGCGGCTTGGAACCGTCCAAAGTGATTAAGTACGTATCTAATTGTTTCTAGATAACTTTATCAAAATCACATTTTTAACGCAAATCTATAATTTATAATAAATAAAATATATTTATAATATAAATTCTTAGTAAGAAATATTTTAGACACATTGGCAAATATGCCGGATGCAAAGAATTAACATTTTACGTATTTTTACCTTTTTTATTCGATTTTTTATATTATTATTTTTTTTAATTTGCGTATCTCGGAATGTAGATATACTACTATGCTAAATGGTGCCATGAAAATGATCGCCGTGCCGAAGCCAAAGTGTATCGTGTTCCAGAGAAGAAACATATGGGAGGCTCCATTGCTCAAGGAGCAATTCGATTGGGATGATCTCATTAAAAAATCAAAACCTCATCCGTGTATAATAGTCGAAGCTAATGATCCATTGTATATATTATACACATCGGGCACTACAGGTGAATCTCTTACATAAAGAATATAAACGTACACTGTAAAAAAATCGATAAATTTACACAGTTGTAAATAATAAGATGTAAAAATTACACGATAAATAACAGAAATTCACTAAATATATAATGTAAATTTACATAATTTCAAAAATTTTATACTATTTACTTAATATATTTCCGTTATTTATTATGTCCTTTTTACATCTTAGTTGTGTAAATTTACCGAATTTTTTCACAGTGTGTTTTTAAAAATCGTTGAATTAAAGCGTATGTATTTCTCCTTTATTTTCTTGTATTTTCAAAATTACTTCTCTCAGACAACGCGTTTAATAAATTAGCTCTCCTCAATGCAATATGCCGATATTAATAATAGTTATCTTTAAATTTTATTTCTGAGCAAATCGCTATATTTATTATGCTTCGACACGATGATATGAGAATAATAAATGTATTTTATATTAGGACAACCAAAGGGGATTATAAGGCCAATCGGCGGCCACTTGGCGACCCTCTGTTGGACTATGAAAACGGTTTATGGAATGAATAAGAATTCGGTTTGGTGGGTAGCTTCTGATTTGGGGTGGGTTGTCGGACATTCGTATATTTGCTACGGCCCACTCATATACGGCGCGACGAGTGTGATGTACGAGGGCAAGCCCGACAGGACACCGGATGCTGGTCAATATTTCAGGTTTAAAATCATATTCTACATCAGATATTAATGAAATCGCTATTTCTGAAAATGTGAAGTATAGTGATAGTATTATGTTCTGGAAATATTTCTCAAAAACACGAAGAGAATGCAATAAAGAAACATATGCAACAAGAATTCAAAAGAGCACAGAAGGAATAAAAATATGTTTATAAAACAAAAAAAAAAACAAAAAATGGAGAAAAAAATATATAGAGTAATCGTAGAGAAATTCGGTCAAAGTATTTTTTTAAATTATTAGTCAGCATAAAAATTAGCTACTAGATCGTTTTAATTACTCGAAAATAATAACGCAATTTGAAAAATGTTTAATAATTTCTTACGCTACTGTGCAACAGTAAACGTCAGTGTGACTTTAAAAGGATTCTGAATTTATATTGTTTATAAAACCACACGGTCTTCTGCGGACTATAGTATGCTATGTACAGACTGCAACTTGCAGCTTATATGTGTCACAATAAAAAATTGTCTCCGCCTCTATATTTTCTCATGGTAGCAGCACTTTTATAGCTTTATACGCGTGAAATATTAGCACGTGTGTAATTTACTTTGTTTGGAATTTTGTAAATCATTATACTATTGCATAATATTTTTCGTAATACTGCTTTGATTAATTAATTCAAGAATACTGCAATAATTAATTAATTCAAGAAAACTTTCCTTCTTCTTTCTAGAATCATCGAGCAACATAGCGTAAACGCATTATTCTGCGTGCCTACAGCTCTGCGTGTTATAAGACGAGCGGATCCGGAAACGTTATTAGGAAAGAAATACTCTTTAAAATCGTAAGTAAAAAATTAAAGCGTAATCCATCGTCTTCATTATTTCGGATTATTATTATTCGGAATATTGAAATATTCTGAATTACGATGCTACATAATTTTTATACACGGCGACTAAGAAAAGCAATTGCACGATCTATTTTTTCTAGATAATTTTATGCAAAAACAATCATGTAATAAATGTATGTTTCTATGAAGAATATATATTATTATCATTTATATTAATATATTGAATATGATAGAATATATATTATATGGTCTTGTGTGTCGTATCATTCAAAAAGATTCGATCGGACACGGACATTCGATAATATATTTAAGCGAGAAGAAAAATAATAAATAATACATTTTTTTAATGATTAATAAATACTTTCGATTCTTTGGGCATTATCGATCGGTTTCGACTGAACGAAAGAATAATATAACCCACCAACCGACCTACGGGTTCAAAGCCATGTTCAGAATTATCAGAGAGTCAAGCCGATCGATCATAACGTGATAATCACTTGCTGTCCTTTATTCCCATATATAGATATTAATACTTAATTAAGTAATCCCGACATCCAATATTTTTATTACTTATTTATTTCGGTTATCTGTTCTGCTTTTAATCCCTACAAAAGAATAAGCAAAATATAATTTTATGTGTAATTAATTTCTACAAAAAAAATGATCATGATTTTTTTACAAATAGCTTTCTTTTTGCTTGTAGCTTGAAAACAATATTTGTAGCTGGCGAGTTTTGCGACTACGAAACCAAAATCTGGGCCGAGAAAGCGTTTAAAGTGCCCGTTTTGAACAACTGGTGGCAATCGGAGACTGGACATCCTATTACCGCACTGTGTCTAGGATACGATCATTATCCCAACTTGCCCAAATTCAGTACAGGGCTTCCTATACCCGGATACGAGAGTGAGTCCACAATTATTTTGTTTTTTTTCCATTATTTTCAAGCATATTTGTCATTTTTTTCTTTTGTTATCACGCTATATATTATCAATTTATCATCAAATTAATTGTGCATTTTCGCAACAGCTATTATTTATATAAATTACTTCATGTAAATTCCGTCATCGACAGTCCACATTCTGCGGGAAGACGGAAGTAAGGCGCCGCAACAAGAACTCGGACGAATCGCGATCAAGTTACCGTTACCACCCGGGTGTATGTCGACACTTTATCAAGCACCCGAAAGATTCAAGGAAGTATATTTCTCGACGTTTCCGGTAAGTAGATTAATAGAAAATAAAAGACAGAATATACGCGATCGCGCTGCATGCACAAATCGTATCAATTACAAAGTATTCTGCAAGTTTAATTTTAACTGCGAATTTTCTGATAATTAATTTTTCTCAGCAAAAATTTTGCGCGCTTCTAAAAATTAATAAATTTATTAATTCAAGTATGTATATTTTTGCTGAAAAGATAATCTCGACTAAAAAAATCGGAGGATCTGTGCAAAAAATAAAATCGTCGGATTACGAGTTATTTTGATATTTTTAATATAATATTAAATTGATATTTCTAATTTTGATATTTCTAACTCGCAGGGTTACTACGACACCATGGACGCAGGATATATCGACGAGTTCGGTTACGTTTACGTGACAGCGAGAGACGATGACATTATAAATGTAGCCGGGCACAGAATATCTACGGCTGCATTGGAAGATATTATCTTAGCTCATACCGATGTGGCGGATGCTGCGATTGTCGGTGTGCCGGATCTTACAAAGGGGGAGGTACCGCTGTGCCTTTATGTTAAACGAGGTTCGCAATATTACCGAATATTTATTTGTTTCTCGAAAAAGTAGACATTGATTTTATTTTTAACGTTAACACACAATTCTCAGCAAATACTTTCGCAACAAAAAATTATGATTTATCTAAAATTTCTCAAGTCACAATTATTTAAAAAGAAAAAAGTTAACAGTGTCGATTTGTGAGACTTTCGTTAAAATGCTTTCTTTTTCAGATGCAATGAAAGACGAGAAGGAAATAAATGAAGAACTAGTTGAGCGGGTAAGAAGCATGATTGGACCGATTGCATCTTTTCGCGCTGCCGCCGCTGTTACCGCGTTACCCAAAACCCGTTCCGGAAAAATAATTCGCAAATCTATCGCTACATTGGCGCAGTCGAAACAACTCAAGGTAACAACAAATAAAAATATCCTTCGATTTTTCACATGTTTTCGATATTTTCGCATGTCTATCAAACTTGCGAATGCCGCCAAATAACCAAAATGTTGGTTAAAGCAATCAAGATAAATATCTTATCTTTTATCATTTGCAGTTCAATGTACAATTTTCTTAGCCATATTTGCGTACGATAGAATATTAAATTATAGATTTCATTGGAGATTTAGAACAAAAATCTTATCTTTAAACTTACTTTTCTCCGCGTCTTTCTCCCACCAACAATGAACGGCGCCAACTTCATGATTTTTCAGATTCCCAGCACGATTGAAGATCCGACGGTTTACCGGGAAATCAAGGAGGCACTCCAGAAACTGGGATACGCAAAATTGGCCCCGGATCCGCAATGACCATGCTTTGCACAAAACTTGTACGAGAAGACACTCTTAAGAAAACATTCACGATAGCCATCTTACCGGAAATGGAGTGTCGCGTTTTGCGAAATAACATCATTATAAGTTCTTTCTAATTGTGTTATGCTACACTTTTTATTCCTAGAATAAAATAGATATATATGTAAGTATTATAAAAAAGAAGACAAAAATTAGCTAGAAATACAACCAAGAAAAAGCATATTATTATTATTAATTAAGAGTATTGGCCGGAGCACAGACTTTTGCATAAAGCATAAC